CACACACATACCAAGCAGTGCTGGGATGTGGGGTCACCATGGCTCGAAATACTGTTGACTCTGCTAGGAAAGTAAGAGTGTCGTTGAATGAGAACTGAATGCCTGGTCTCTCGTTGAATGAGAACTGAATGCCTGGTCTCTCAGCAATCCCATTGCCCAGCAGTAACATCAGTAGACTGACATTATGGTCTGCACATGAATGCAGCGAGGGACAGCTCCCTTTCCCCTTTATCTTTATTATGTAGAATGAGGAAGAAGGTAGTGGAAAAAAATTAAGCAACACTCCACATCCTCCAATTATTTTCTGTATTTTGAGAATTTAATATTTAGAATTTTTTGAGCTCTCTGTGTTATTGGACACATCTCCATCATCCTTTTTAATCGCTAACTGCAGTATTCAATCAACTCTTCAGACAGTATTAAAGTGGCTGTGCAAATTATGTGGGCACTAAGACTTGTGCAAGTACATATGCATCATTGCTTTTATACTTACTTTCTTTCTCCAAGAACATTTTTTCTTTTTCTTTTTTTTAGTCAGAAGTACCTGATAGATACTGTTCACTAGAAGCAAATAAATAATGGGTGCTGGTGTAACAATCCTGTCCACAGGAATTCAGTTTTTATTTGAATGATGCTTTTGTATATTATTTTCCATAGTGTAACCTCACAGTGCTGCAAATGTATAGTTATCCATACCCAGAATGAACTTACAGTATATAGGAACAGTAGCATTTTGTCATTAATGTAAAGCTTGTGACACTTTATTCATGTCTATGAAAACAGGTTCTAACATCACAACTGTATTATGACTAGTTTTTTTTTTCAAAAAAAGTATTGATAATCTGTAATTTTTACTTGGATTAATTTTTACAATTTTTTTATACAATTAAACCTAAATTTTTATACCTATGATGATTTTTTTTAGTAATGTCTATTATGCACAAATAGAACTTTCCCATTTACACAGAGAATAAACTACTAAGCATACCAAAGCAAATTAACACATTTCATTCTTGATGGAATTTGTAAATTCTCATTAAAGTCTTCATCAGGTGCATGCTAAACTTTAAAAACAGAAATATACTGTATTTATTTGACTAGAAGATGACTCTGATTATAAGATGACTCCCCAATAATTGGATTCTATATATGGAAAATATATACATTAATTATAATTTTCCAGTATAGAATATAATTATTGGAGGTTTGGTCTTTATTTTGTTCCCTTCCCACTGCTGCAGCAAGGAAAATAAATCTGGGAGGGGGGGGTCAGGTAGCCCTTTTGCTGCCTTCCCTCAATGTTTTTCCCTGGAAGCCCCTTTGCCTTCTCCTCATTATCAGACCCAGCTTTCCCTGAGCACCTAGAAGTGAGGAGCAAATTTGAAAACAATAACCTTGAAATTAAATATGGCTGTAGCAATTTGCATATAGTACCCATGCACTTAGTTCATCCAGAAATGATGCATTTTACCTTGATTTTAAACCACTGCAAGTTTTAAAGCAGGTAATCTATAAACACACGTCAAGCAGCACTTTGGCACCTACTTATATGCATTGCAAACTATGCTTGATATTAGTTCAGATACCCCCTGTGGAGAAATTGCCCCAAGTTTGTCTCTCTGCCTACGGGGCTAGCTAAGCTGTAAAAGTTCCAAAGAGAGGGGGAACATGCTCCTCCTTTAGTCTCACATTCCCACCCATATGACTAGTCATCTCACCTAGTCAGTCCGTCATTTGGAAGTTCTGGTCAGCAGCCAATGGGTCTGCTTCTGGTGGGAACTTAGTGATGAGGTCAGAGCAGGTGTATAAAAAAAAATCCTCCTTAAGGAAGGAGGCTGAGCCATGTTTTGGAACACAGCAGGCATCCTTAGGAACATGGGAACAAGCAGATGGCCTCTGGAGCTCTTTTAGACTCTGGATGAATGTGAGTAACCTACCTGAAATGTAGCCAGTAACTTAGGATCAAGTGTTCTAGCAGCCTATCAAAGGGATATCAAGCTGCTTCCATTTGCTCAGGGTTATTCTTTTGATACAACTTTGACATGTACCCCTCCCCATGCCTGCTCTTTCACCCAATAAAGCCATCCGCTATAGCAAGCCTTGTTGTACGTGCTTGGGAGGGACTGGGCAGGCCTTTTTGCTCCCTTTGCTTGGCCGACTAAGGGAGGCTACGTTCTATGCTTCAGGCTATAAGAAGCACCCAGATATATTCTGCTGGGGCTAAACAACCCCTAGGTCTACAGGGCCTGTGTACCCCAAGTGGCACAGAGACTGGAGCTTGGGTGATGGCAGTGGTTACCCCAGGCTGGTGGGTGTGATCCAGGAAAGGGGTTGGGCAGAAGTTGGTGCCCGTGGGGAGGTACCTGCAGCTTGGTTTTGGTTAGGCGCACTAAAGCAGGTGGCTCAGTGCAGAAGTGCCCTCTACTGTCCTGCCACACCCCCCACAAACGACTTATGGGCTACTTAGCACCCACTTGTGACTGGAACTGGATGTTCTTGTAATGAGTCCTGGGATGCTGCAAAAATGTATATATGCAGAAGAGACGCAAGGCAGCCTGGTCCAGCTTCACCTCATGAAGTGTGGGGCAATACTAAGGATTAGATAGAGCATTGCGATGAGGCTCAACAACCCAAGCTTCTAGTCTAAGCCCTGACACTGGCCTGCTGATTGGTTTTAGGCAAATCACTGCATATATTTGTGTGTCTGCTGTGCTATCATGGAGCTAATGATGCATATTTCCCTTGTAACGTGCTTTGGGATCTACTGATAAAAATTCACTGTAGAAAAGCTAAGTGTTAATTCATTGTTATCCCTTTTGAGCCAAGCAGTTAGTTAAAATTTGGAGTTTTACATGCTGTTAGAAGTTTATGATGATGTCCTGTTCTTTGATGCCATCCTGTTTATTTACAGAGAATGTACACAGAGACAGACTCCAATTACTTCTGATGTGTCGAAGTGGACTGTATTTAGCTGTGCAACTGCATATTTTGACACTAATGCAGAGTTTGCAATTCAGTTTTTGGTAGCACTAGTCTAGACACTAGTCTAGGCTACTCTAGACACTCAGTAAGGTGATGTTCTGGCTAGGCAGCTGCCTGGGGGGAAACATTACTCAGATATGAACATAAGCCAGGGAAAAAACTGTGGTAAGGTTTAAATGGAAGATGCAGTGGGCCAGCTACAAGAATAGGGCTGGAAAGGGATTTCAGCAGTGCTTAGCTTTGATTCTCAACCAAGGTTCTGGGGCACCCTGGGGTGCCATGAGATCCTTCGAGGGGTGCCCAGGAAGTGTGAGGAGATAAGCAGATATGGGCAGCTCCTCTTGCTTGATGACTGTCCTGCCCTCCACTGCCTTGCCCTTCTGCAAGGAGGTAGCCATTGTAACAGATGCATTCGTTTTTTAAATGACGTGCTGCTTGGTTAACAAAAGTTACGGAGGTGTGCCTTGAGTCTGACAAGGGATACCTTGAATCTAAAATGTTTAGACAACCTGTGGCCTAGGGGTTAGAGAACTTTTGGAAACAGAAGATAAAGGTACGAGCTTCATTCCCTGAGTGAAAGCCACTAGCCACTAGGTTAGTGATTATTTTACTTCCAGTAGGTATGTGTGCAGGACAATTCTGTTGTCACCAGCACAGAATAGAATTCCCAACTGTTTATACGCATAAAAAATTGCAGTTATGTGCCTGTGTATGCACTGCTTACATATTTGGAAGGTAAATAGGATCTGTCACAAAGACCAGTTTCCCTCTGTGCTGAAGGAACTGAATGATGGTAGACAGTTTCTTTGCTCAAAGTTCCAAGCCTCTTTCCATCTTACCAGTATAATCTCGCTGGGCTCTCTCTAAGGCCCACACTCAGTGAGCTTTACTGGCTTTCTCCTTGCTTTTCTCTTTCTACCTGGCTGGCTTTCAGTGCTTCTAAATGAAGATTCAGAAACTGCTAGCAAAGAACACCCAGCTCCTGAATTTGTATTCAACCACCAGTGAAACCCTTCTACCTTCATAGCTCATCTGCTGATGGGCCATATATTTGGCAGGTGTTTTAGGCAGTAGTTCTAATTATGCCATGTCCTGTATAAGTCTTTATGCCATGTCCTGTATAAGTCTTTATGTCTGATTAGGTTTCATAGACATCCCAAATGTTATTTAAAAAAAACCAACACAACTTAATGCCAAAAAAGTAGAAGTAACCAAAAACAAGTACAGCAGAAAACAAAAAAATGCAGTTAAGGTTCAAAAAGGAGCTTAACCATATCTCCATTTTTTTCCTGGATGAAGCACACAAGTCTACCTTTTAGCTTCTATAAAGTTTCACTCATACTCTGTGATAGCAATATTATTATGATTGACCATTCCAGATGTTGTTATTTGTACATTGCAAATTCTTATACCATCTCCTAAGAATGTCTAAATGACTAAATCTAATGCTCTGCCATATTTGTGTATGTATCAAAGGGCTCCTCACTTCCACTTCAAAGATGCTAGAGGTGTGACTAGAGTTGCCTACTATTCCATGCAACCATTGGTAAAATGAGTGAAATAGTCTCAGGGAAGGGTTGGAAGCTTAGATACTTATTTACCTACTGAAAAGATTTTAAGTTTTTATTAAAAATAATTTAAACCAAAATCCCATATTCCCAACCTCCTCAAAGATTTTAGAGTTGAAATCTAAAGCGTCCATATTTCTGAAATCTGCTGAAATTTCGTAGCTGGCTTCTCAGCCTGGTTTTGCTCCATTCTTGCCTATTTTTAGTGATACACTGAAATTAACAGGACTATGTGTGAAAATAAGGATAGCAGAATTATATGATTTTAAATTTTGATTTTTTTTTAAGTCTGCATGTGGATCTTCATTTTTTTGGATCAGATCCATAAGTGTTGTTTTTGTCCCCTGAAGTAGAATCAGTCTCTGGGAGCTTGAGTGCAAGCTGATTAGTATCTTTCTTATATATAACGCATGCTTTAACAACAGTCCTTGCAATATATTTATATTTCAGCAACGATTCAAAAACGCTTGAAGAAAGAGAAAAAAGCAAAGAGAAAATTGCAGGAGGCCCTGGAGTTTGAATCAAAGCGAAGAGAACAAGTGGAACAGGCACTTAAACAGGCCACGTCAGGAGACAGTCTCAGGATGTTAAATGGTATGTTTTAGTTGGAGTTCGAGAAGGAGCTTAGAATGATGTTTATCAGTTGTAATTAGCTGAGAAACATAAAATAGTGCACAAAAAAATCCTGTTTAAAAAAAAAAAAGCCTTGTGCAGAAATAATTATAAATCAATTGCAGGCCAAGTGCACTAGATCATTAAATAAAAAAGAATAAAATATCTAGAAGGACACACAGACAAATTTATGTGAAAAGAAATACTATATATTGTTACTATAGAAACCTGTAAAAATGATGATTGGGGCTGTATGAAACTTGGTTTTAGTTGCCATGAGGTTTCCATCTGTGCTGGTTGAGTTTCACAATTACTGAGTTTCATTTTGAAAATAGCTTGTCAAACCCAATATGAACTTGTCCAGCCTCAGAATTTATTAAGCTTACCATGTATAAGTCTTTCTGTCTGATTAGGTTTCATAGACATCCCAAATGTTATTTAAAAAAACCCAACACAACTTAATGCCAAAAAAGTAAAAGTAACCAAGAACAAGTACAGCAGAAAACAAAAAAAAGTGTTTGGTGATACAACAAGATGTTGAATCTAAAGCAGAGCTGTCAAAAGTTAGCATTTTTTTCTTTATTTGAAATTTAACTTAGTTGGGTATGTCCAGATGAGCACACATGTGAGGTTTGTGGCACCTCAAAGCAGTTTGAAGCATTACAAACTGCACATGGCACACATGCACCCATTTGCTGCACTGCTAATATGCAGTGTGGCATTTTTTTTGACACTGGGAGATCCCACGGGGTGTCAAGAAAAACAACAGTGGAAAAAAGCAGCGCAGTGCATGTGGCAACAGCATGTGCCTCCAAAAATGGAGCCTGGCCAGCCAGAGCCATGCTTTGGCTGCTGGCCAGACTCATGCAGCCAGATCAGCACCACTGCTATCCCAGGAGGCTCCCAGGACCGCAGGCAAGGTTGCTGGGATGAGAACAGGTGCTGGCCCCAGCATCCCCTTATCCACCTGGGCCAATTCGCCCCATGCCAACCCCATTTGCAGGGACATGTGCAGCAGCACAAATTTGTGCTGCTGGTATTTTTGCTGCAGCAACCACATGCTCACGTATGCAGACCTGAATTAGCTTTAAACCAGCTAGATTAGGTACTGCTAATAGTGGCACTGTGGTAGAATGGAACTCAACACAGGTTGCCTCAGATGCTGGATACTTGGCCAGTTAGCCTGCTCTGAGTTCTGTGCTAACATAGCTACATTGCTAGCAATATGTAAGCTAGTCCATTTAAAGCCAGCTTGTGTATGTCTACATGTTCTGCAGTGACTTATCCAGAGTATACTGATGACTATGCTGGAGCAAATTGAATTCTGATATAACATAAGAGAATTTGGCCTGGTTTCTTTTCAGAGGAGCAGAGCATTTGTAGTTCCTAATGATTATACCAGAATTTGAAGATACTCAGCATTTCTGAAAATTGTGTCCCTTATTTTCAAAGGATGTCAGGACTCTGCTAATGTTATCAGCATATATTTACATCCACAATTAATTATGGGGCTGAATAGTGACATTTAGACCACTGCTTGATTTATAGTCGCAATCAGGTAGCTATCTAGGTATTAGTAACAGCAAGAGGAACAACTGCTGATATTTCAATGATAATCTGATTGCATGAACAAATCAACTAGCTCATTAGCATCTTATTTTATGATGACAAAATATGGAGGGCTATTGTGAAAAATTAAAAAAAAGAACTCTGAAGATCTTTCCCTATTATAGTCGCTGCTATTAGTTACCACTGACTTCGTTGTAGTATGCATGTACAGTATATATTTTAAAGTTAAAAAACTCTTTAGAATAACACAGTAAATTCCCCAAATAGTTAGGAAAGAAGGATATTCTTCCTGAGCAGCAGCCTGAGTAAGGCAGATCCTATTTGGTCACAACCAATTCTGATCTGATTTTTGGAGTATTCTTATCTTATTTACAATAGAAAATTAGAACACAGCTTACTTGGTAGCTCTGCACTGGTCTATAATGAGAATTTCATGGTTGTGATGTGACCAGGAATGGATGCTGACCCATCAAACCAAACAGGTATTGACAAGCTTAAGATGTCCCAGATCTGAAAGAAAAAAAAAGGTAAATTTGAAAATAATGTGATTTGGGGGCGAGGAGGCATTTAACATATAACTCTAAATTAATATAACATTTTAAAGGAAACATACAAGTTCCTTTTAAATATACACAAATGTGCTTTTTAAGTGCTGTATTATAAAAGAAAAGCAGATGTTTTTACAGGATTCTGTGCGCCATGGATTCAAATCACATACTTTATATGCTAATCCTTGATGGCATTAGGTGGTATAGTGGCATCTGTTAGCACAACACCCAAGGGTGTTTGAGCCACAAACCACCCACAAAGGCTATGCGTACAAAGACATTATCAATATTAAACTATGGTTCAAATGTATGTTACATCATTAGGAACTTTTCTTTCTCACCTTAGGAATTAACTGCACAGTCAGTCTCTGGAGATACTGAAATATTTCACAAAACAGAATTTTGTTTTGGGAAGGAAAGCATTTTTATTGACTCCTAAGAAGAAACTTAAAGGAAACAGTACAATATCTGTTTATATTTTAAAAAATCGACATTTATGTATGCTTGAGAAAAAATGGCTATAAATGGGTATATGATATTCCACTAGTCTCCTTTGTAGAGGGTTATTTTAAAGAAAAGTTGTTAATATAAAATTAGGCTAAGACGGCAACATTATACAAGAGCTTAAATCATATAATTTGACACTGTCATGAGCTTGCTAGCACTGGCTGTCCTATATAATACTTTGGTCTGCAAGTATTCTGCTAGGATAAGTCAATGTAGGTTAGTATTTTTCATCACTAATTTCCCCGTTTTCATGTGAAAGATGTCCCTGGTACTCCAGAAGAGAATTTCAATGCCATATTAATAACATGTGTTGATTAGTGTCTAATCACCAGAGAAAGTGTGAAGTATGTTAAAAATAATTCACTGTAAGGCTGGTAATACTTTCACATTTTGTAAACTGTTGGAAATCCAGTGAAACTTGAACGTTATATGCAAGGCTGGTGAAACTTAAAGATCGTCCTCATTGCAATAAAGATTTTTCTAAAGCTTCATCAGGGGAGAACAAGGTGGAATGTATTAATCTCAAATGTAACATCTTTCAGATGCTGGGATCCCAGATATGGAAATAGACCACAATGGAACCCAACATGACAGTGCTGCAATGCAAGGTACAGTATGTTTTATAGTGTTGCTTCAGAATCCATGATTTGTTGTATTCTGAAAAAATAAGACTAAATGCAACATCAGCTTTCTCTAATTATTCATACCTGGCAAATATACAGAAATAGTAAAACATTCTCCAGTTTCTTGTTTAGTTAAGAACACCATTATAAAGTCAGTAAATGCCTTTAGAAACAGAGGAATATATATTATTTACAGTATGAGCAAATATCAGATTTAAGTGACAAATGCATAGAATACATCCAAAAGGTGCCAGTTTACATGCCATTTTTTAAACGGTGCAAATCAGAAGTATTGTTATGATGAACAGAAATGTACACAAATACACATGTGTACACATACACAAAATGCAAATATATCTTGACAGAAATACCAAAATCCTTGCAAAGAATATTAGTCATACAAGTAAAATATATGTGTACACACAGAGCTTATGTTAATAGCATGAGTCAAATATCAAAACTCATGAAATGTCATATGTAAGTATGCTATGCAGTCCATTATTGTATAGTCTTAGTTATGTAATTTTTCCCCAGAAGACTCCCGCCTCGGAATCAGTGCACAAAATGGATGAGGGTAACCTACTGAACTGCTATTCAATATTTAGTTTCTTCCTTGTTGTTCCATGTTTGGCCCCATGATTTATTTCCTGCACACTATTCAAACCCTACTCTAATGACAGAATATTAATTTTCTCCAAGTCATTTCTCCGGTGCTCTTTATGATAGTATCTGAGTGTTTCCAAATATTAATGATTTTATTTCCACAACAACCTTGTGAAGTACAGGGGTGGTATTATCACCATTTTTCAGCTGAGGGACTGTGGCAGAGAGAGATTAAGGTCAAGAGTTTCTATTAATTGTAGGTACCCATTCTGAGACGCATGCAATCTGATTTTTCAGAGTTCTGAGCATTATATAGTGATTTTTATGTACAAAGCACAGCTTCCAGACTTCAGCTGTGCCTGTGAGTTCTCAGTCAATTCTTTTGAAAATCTGATTCCAGTGGCTTATATCTAGCATATAGACATAAAAAGTAGAAAAATAGTATATACCTTTGAAAAGTTTTGTATATGCACCCTAACTTGGATCACACTGGCCCTCTGTGGGGCAGACAGGGTTAGAATCTAATCCCCTAGTATGTAATTAACTACCTTAACCATGGTACCAGTCATTCCCTTCTGGGCATCCCTTTCCTAATTCACTAAGCTCCTTCCAAAATCTGCAACAAATCAAGAAGAGGTCCTATAGACAACAGTTTATTTCACTGCAAAACCCAGATTCATTCCCAGCCCATCTCCATCCTTTCAACTCAATCAAGCAGTTGTGGCAAAAAATGGTATGTTATATAATTAAAGATGGCAACAAAAATGCATTTGTAAATGGCAGCCAACATAATAACGCTGATATTTCTATGCCTTGAGTGTTTGACTTTTCAACCTATATAATTGTTTTTCTATTCTTGTTGTTCTATGTGCAATTCCCTGGGCTTTTAGAGAAAAAAAACCTAAAAAAATAGGAAATGTATCCAGGGATGCCCATATGAGATATCAGTGGGGTTGGAGCCTTTAAAACCACCACATGGCCCTCTGCCATTTGGGTTAATGGAGAAATGCATAACAATAGGAAATTGCCCTTCCATGTGTAACAGCACTAAGGGAAGATGAGACACTTTGCCATCAAGTTTTATAGATGATAAAGTGAAACTTGGATTCCCTAGACAGAAGTGTGATCTAGTGGTCAGAAACTTCTTTCTTCCTTCTCCCAGATCCTTGTCTGATTCTCTCTGCCAGTCCTACTTCTGTAGTCTGACACCCCATGTCCACCCCTTCCACCTCCACCCATCTCCACTGGTTCTTCTACCACGTCTCCATGTCCAGCTAATCCCAGTTTCTTCACCAAATCCTTATTCAATCTCACATTGATTTTCCTAATCTATCACCATTACCTTTCAATCCTAGGTTTTTCCTTCCCTTCCCACCCCCATTTGCCCACCTAAACACAGATGCTTTGTTTGAATCTACTCTCAACACCCGTGCACATCTCACTTCTGTCCTCTCAGCTTCTGAATGAAACAGCTTGCTCCTCCATGATGCCCGACAGGTGAATCACTGAGAGCACATTTTCCCTTGATATCAGTTCACATGCCCAAACCCAGACCTAGCACAGCCCAGGGCAGTCCAGTGCAGTAATTGCTGAAAACGTTTTCTTTACCTACCTGCAATCTTGAGCCTCTAAATTGCACTTCATGAGATATCCATTTAGAAACAGGTAGTATTATCTGAATTAACACCTAATATGGTTTCTGTAATCTGTTTGCCTGACAAAAGAGCATTCTTTTATTTTTGAGGCTTTTTTTTGTTTGTTTGTTTTAAATATTTGGCAATTTTTTCAAGGTGCCAGAGTTCCTGAAAGGGAAGAAAAAGTAGAAGGACCTGATCCCAAGTCCAGCTGCTCCTATTATGTTGAGCAGACTTTGGATTTGGACCTAGAAGAACAGATTTGAGAGGGAACAACCTGGATATTCAGGGATTATGTTGAACACGTCCCAATTTGGTACTCCCCTGTTAATGTAAAAAATGATTCTGTGAAATTGGATTTTAGTTACACTTTAGTTGTAAACCTGTCATAAATGGGCAAATCACTTTTTATCTTCCTCTGACAGTGTTCAGGATAATGTTGAACAATGAGTGCGTGTCCTGCTGGAATTGTTTTAGATTTTTGTAAATGGTTGATTCAGGGAGTCTGTTTTTGCCTGAGTACAGCAGGTGTGCAGTGCTAGCAATATAACACAACCACAGCAAAAGCACTAGTAAAAGCATAAAAAGTTCCCAAGCATTAAAGAATGTATTCCTTCATCCAGAGATATAAGAACTCATTTTAGACCGTTAAGAACTATCATAAGCAAACTGTATCACAAGTAACAAATGATTGTCTGCAAAGCCTTTTTTCACACAAGTTTTTTCCAACTTAAAATTGCTTAGGGTATGTACAAGTGCTACATTTAGATTAACATTTAAATTGACCTAACCCTGGTCAATCATGCAGGCATTAGCAAGTCTTAAATCACCCAAAAAATAGTGTGCCCAGTCTAAGGGGGTGCTTCTGCTTTGAGCAGGGGGTTGGACTAGATGACCTCCTGGGGTCCCTGCCAACCCTCATTTTCTGTGGTTCTAATTTTAGTTAGTTTACCTCAGGAGCTTAACTAACATTAGACTGAGAAAGGGTTAACCTAATCTAGGAAGGGTTAATTCAACCTGTCAAATGCCTGTACATGTTCACAACATAGCATTGGAGCCAGGAAAGCCCAGCCACTCACCCCAGCTCTGGGGCTGTGGTGTTCTTAACCCCCTGACTCTGGGCTCTTTGTAGGCCCCCAACACCCTCCCTATCCTGCCAGGACTGGGCATTTCCTCCCCCCCTAATCTGGCCAGACCTCCCCCCCCCCAAGTTTCTTACCTGCTCCCAGCAGCAGCAAACGCCTGGAAGGAACCCAGCTAAACCTAGACCAAGTACCCCAAATGCCAATATGTACACTTAGACATTATTTTTACACACCTTGAACAAGCTTGTGCAATCGCTGTTATGAAGAGCTCTCTGACTAATGCATTGTTAAACTCTCTTTTGGATTTTAATGCAGTTCTGCCGTGTGGGAGCATCCCACAGATTTTTGCTATGTGTTGATATGATATTATGTTTTCCATTTTCTTTAGATTATATTTTTACAAAACTTGTCAGTAAATACTGTCCTTTAGTTTTTAACAATTTAAATGTACTCTTTTCATCACCCACTTCATTTGTTTGCTTTATTTGTGTGGGGTGATGGTTCATACAAGCCTAATACAAGGTTGTTTCCAGAATATATCTACAGAACACAAAGAAAAGCTCTGGCATCAGTTAAGATCTTTCTTTCTCTATTGTCAATAGCTCTGCTGGACAGAAATCTATCATTCACAGAGTGCCTTTCCTTTGAAATTCATTTAGTTCCAGTGTCAGTATTTCTTTAAAAGGGTTTTAAGGAGAATTACAAAAATATTGCATTAACCACCTTTTACAGTGATTAAGTTGTATCATATTTTATGCTCATTTCTTAAAATGATTTTATTAATGCATGTTGTTCATATACTAAGATTCTGATATGCATGACAAATCTTTTCAGTTTAACTGGTTCACTGAGATACTTTATATGTTAACTGATCCGGATTTTTCTACTTACAGTACCACTCATATATGCAACTTTCTAATACCTTACCAATACCTGCAATCCCCCTAGTTTATGCCCCCTATGCCTAGTCTATCAGTCCAGTGTAGTTTATTTTGGGTGAGTCTTTAAAGCTGATAAAATAAATTAAGGTGCAGTTGTCCTGATGTCCACCGTATAGTTGAATGGTAAAGGAAAGGGTGATGCATATTCAAAAACACCCTTCTGTTCCTTTTTCCATAACTCGCTTGTGGCTCAGAAAGATAGTGCATCAACCATTTTATCAACCAATCTCCGTTTCACATAAAATAAACATACTGGGTGTCATTAAGTGCACCTTCAGATCAATGATTTTTGCAAATGACATTCAAGTACCATTCGAGTAGTGCATTTTTGCTGATAAAAGCAAATTAAATTAGCACAACTACAAGTGTGCTGATAAAAACTAAAACTGAACAGCAGCACCATTAGCTAACAAAGTAATATTTTCTCTTTACTGCTTTCTGCCATTTAGTTATTATCCTATTGGAAATCTAATTATAATCCTTTTACTCCCTAGTCAAACTTCACAGTTTTTGCAAGCTTAGCACTGACAAGTGATTTCATTACATTTGATTGCCCGCGCCCAGATTGACTTAACTTCACTCAGAGACCTAAAAGCCCTCTCAGTTTCTCAGATTCCCTGTTTGCACATTACAGCAACAGCTCCTTTAATTAATTAGCATGAACAGCAGTAACATGAACTGCTGAACAGAAAATAACATCATTTTATGATCGCAGGGAGACT